ATGTATATGTATATGTATATTCTATGATTAATGCCAGAATTCTGCAGAAAAAAACATCATAATTGAGCGAAAACAAAAGCACAGTGGGCCTGATCCTCTTTTGTGTTATCACAGATCTTTTAACTTTTCTATTAAGTGTTTCAGCACTTGAGTTTTGAATCTAACCTTAAAAGTCTTTTTAAAGTCTCACCATGGAAATAAAAAAAATCAACCCTGAAGCTAATTAAATAAAAATACGTACTACTCTCTGGCTTCAAGAGCTGCAGTACATCCTGTAAAAATAAAGTTAGTAATCATTTGTGGACAACCCATTGAACAGCCTTAGTTTGGAGGAGGAAATGGTTGGATTGATGAGCCAAATGCTAGTCTGAATAGGACTAAGACTGTTAGTGGATTACTGTCATCTTTTTTTTTCTTCTGTACCACTCTGATCATATTTCTCTCCTCATCACTCCCAAAGAAGTGAAGAATTGGATTGAGAAGAAGGATTGCTGTCATCTTWAAAAAAAGTTCAGTGATATTACTGCTAAAACGTTCTTCACAAATCTTTACATACGTATGTGTCAATTTTACAACACAATACATAGAATACCATGGTTGTTTGCAAGTGTAAATAGCGGCAGCAGCAGCAAGCAGTAGAACTTCTGTTGCAGTTTGAACCACTTTCCACAGGGTTATCATGATGTCATATATCAGAGTGAAAGGTGTTTGCTGCCAGAAAAATATCTAAGTAGGAAGTGTTTGTGCTTTGGATTGCCATAGAGGCCACATTAATCTCAGAGAAATACTTTAAGTAGAAAACTGCTTCAACTAAATGATTAGAAAACTTTTCCTCCTTACGTCTTCCTCTGTAGGCGTGTCGATGCCCATTCCAGTGATTGGCCTCCACAACGAGGACAAGGTCTTCGTCAATGGCAGCTGTGCTCTCAACGAGGAGCGCTTCATGCTGATTGGCTCCTTTGTGGCCTTCTTCATCCCACTGGTGATCATGGTAGTGACGTACTGCCTCACCATCCAGGTAGAGCTCAGTGGTCCTGTTTTTATCTTAGGGGTCTTGAACGTTGCTCTTACCTTTCTTTCTCTTTGTTTCCTCTGCAGGTGCTCCAGAGGCAGGCCACAGTCTTCCTTTACGAATCTAAGACTTCTTCTTCTTCCCAGCAGCGTCTGAGCACACCAGCAATCACAATCACACTGGAGCCTCCAGAGTTACACCTCCCTCAGATCAATACAATCTCACCTTCAGACTCACAAGGTAAACTCYAACAAAGACAGAGCAGCTGAAAAATTCTCCACAAATACATTTATACTCAAAATGAAATGTAAAAACCAAAGTTAGTCATTTCGCTTTTTATCTTTAGTAACTTTTACTTTACCTTACCGTACTTTTACATTACTTCACAATACTTGTATGCTACCCCGCAACACTTTTATGTTCTTTAGCAAAACCTTTACCTTATCTTGCTTTATGTTCTCAAGCAATATTTTTACATTACCTTACAATACTTCTAAATTTTTTTAACTCACAATACTTTTAAGCTACTATGCAATATGTTTAAGCTACCTCGCATTACTTGTACAATATCTCACAATACTTATATGTTACCCTGGAGTACTTTTACGTTCCTTAGCAATACTTTTACATAATCTCGCAATACTTTTACATTCCCACACAATACTTTTATGTTACCTCGCAAAACCTTTACACTACCTCAATTTATTCACCTTATCTTAAAATACATTTACACTACTTTTCAATACTTTTACGTTACCTCGCAGTACTTGTACATTACCTCACAATACTTGTGTTAACCTGCAGAACTTTTATGTTCTTTAGAAATACTTTTACACTACCCTGAAATACATTTACTTTCCTTAGCGATCCTTTTAGATGATCTTGCAATACCTTTACATTCACACACAATAGTTTTTTTTTTTTTTTTACCTCGCAAACCTTTATATTCCCATGCAATACTTTTACATGACGTTGCAATGCTTTTGTGTTATCTCGCAATTAGGCATCGGCCGAATACCGGTTTCAAGGTATACTGTGATATGAAAAAGTCAGTTTGAAAACCAGTAAAATTTTCTGTCACACCTGCCTAGTGCCTACGGCATAAGCATTTTTAGTTTTTCCCCCGGGCCGGGCAGCTGCAACCCCCCCCCCCCCTTCCTCCTCCCCCCCAATGCACCCCTGCAGAGCTGCCTGTCGTCAGCATTCTGTTACGGCTGAATGAAGAGAGTTCCCAAAACTTTTTCCCTGTCTAAAATAATAAAGCCAGCTATATGAAAATACTTTGAATGCTGTAAAAAGAAAGACAGAATGTCTTGTGGACCGTGAAGGTAACACACATGATCACAGCTCCAGGTAAAGTTTATGCTATCTTTGAACGAGCTAACTTTAGCATCAGATTGTGAAACATATCATTGTGTTGCTGTGGCTTAATGCGCTGGTCCCAACTTGTCTGCAAAACTGTTTGAGTTGTTGGATTGTGTATTTGATAAGTTTTAAGTGYAAGGTGATAAAACTGAATGCCTCCTTTAGCCGAGCGGCTCGTTAGCTGAACGTGCGTTTCATAAACACGCATTCATAGTTGTGATTTTTTTGTTTCTGTGTTCATATAATTATATAATCTTTACTTCGAAAACCCTTCTGAAATTTAAAACACAATAAAAACTCCCAACATGATACATTACTTCAACAAAAAGAATTGTCGTGCAGTACACACTGATTTGTCTTAACTAATAAGGCAGTAGAAAAGTACGGAGCGCGCGAGGGGACATGGGAGTTTTTTTCTTTTGCGTTCCCACGCAATAGTATTGCGTTACCTCGCAATACCTTTTGCATTCCCTCGCAAAAGTCATTTATCACAGTTGTGCCTGCCCGTTTTTTAACAAACTCACATGTTCACCATTAGCGACTTAGCCTACTGCTTTAATTCAGCTTCAGAAGGAATATATCACACAACCACACATGGAAGTATGTCATATGCTGAAATTTTAACACAGTGCAGCCACGCAACATCTATGTCTATTTCACGAACTTGTGGCGACACATCCTGTTTTGGTAACCTGATATTTCAAAATAAAAGTCTGATTTAATTCAGTTCATATACAAATCAAACTTTTGCGTGGGAACCCAAAAAAATATTGCGAGGTAACACAAAAATATTGCGAGGGAATGCAAAGGTATTGCGTGGGAACGCAAAAGAAAAAAAGTCCCCCCGTGTCCCCTCGCGGGCTCCATAGAAAAGCAGTTATCTTACTAGATGTAAACTTTATCAGGATAACCTAATCGTATTAAGTACTAAACTTCACAAGTACAGATGCACACAGGTAAATACAATTTTAGCATAACACCATGAGATATAACAGCTTCCTAAGATAATTAAAGTTGAATANTTTGCACAGACAAATATTAAAGTAATGAGAAGAAACCTTGGTAAAATTTTCTCTCATAGCTTAGTTATGAGAAGTGTGAGATAAGTTATTTGCATGAATAACTCATCCCTTACATTAACAAACTCACATGTTCACCATTAGCGAGTTAGCCTTCTGCTTTAATTCAGCTTCAGAATGAATATACCACACAACTACGCATGGAAGTATGTCATATGCCGATATTTTAACACAGTGCAGCCACACAACATCAATGTCAATTTCACGAACTTGTGGGGACACATCCTGTTTTGGTAGCTGGATATTTCAAAATAAAAATTCTGATTTAATTCAGTTCATATACAAATCAAACTTTTGCGTGGGAACGCAAAAAAATATTGCGAGGTAACACAAAAGTATTGCGAGGGAATGCAAAGGTATTGCATGGGAACGCAAGAGAAAAAAATCTCCCCGTGTCCCCTCGCGGGCTCCATAGAAAAGCAATTATCATACTAGATGTAAACTTTGTCAGTATATCCTAATTGTATTAAGCACTAAACTTCACAAGTACAGATGCACACAGGTAAATACAATTTTAGCATAACACCATGAGATATAACAGCTTCCTAAGATAATTAAAGTTGAATATGATAATAGAGAAGATGTTTTCTTCTTTTTTTAAATCCCAATTTCAAAATAAAACTTTTTAAAGCTGTAATCATAATACCGTCATACAGCGAAATTGTGATATTTTTGCCMAAGGTTATCATGCCATCATAATTTCATACCGTCCCATATCTACTCGCAATACTTTTACATTACTTCACAATACTTTTGTGTATGTGAAAATGTGTTATTGAAATAATAAAAAATTGAGTTCATGAATGATGTCATGCTTCCGCACAAAATATCAACTGCCCTTTTAACACTGAATGTACAAAAGGTTGTGTTTGGTTCCAACACTGACAGCAGTTGTCTRAGTTCAGTTTCTTTTTTGAATGTTTACCTTGCAAAAGTAAGGGCAACAGTGATTGTCTGAATATTTACATTTTCCACAATAAGTGTTTTAGAAAAAWTTTCTTGACTGAGGTTGTATTTTTTCTCACACAACCGTAGGTTTTTATAAACCCCTCAGATTGTCTCTTCTTATCCCCTTTGTGCAGAGCTAAAGGCCCCYCCCCTCCAGAGCAGGCGAAACACCCTGAGCTGCCTGAAAGGCGCAGAGCCAAGTATTCTGCTGAGTGCCTCCACCTCAGACAGCATCAGCATCATTCCCAGCTCCGAGGCGGCGTCGCAGCTCAGCTCTCCAGCCACCGGGCCGGGGCGGAGCGATGTCTCAGGTTCCCACGGGAGGCGGGGGATGATGCAGGCCATAAAGAACGAGAGGCGGGCCTCGAAGGTGAGAAGACAAACTGCAGCATGGCCAGAGTGTCAGCTCATCATTTCAGACATAAAATATATTCATGTAAATGTGATGTTTTTAGTATGATGTGAGGTTTCATGTGGGAGGACTATTTAGTTTCCTCATCATGTACCAATTTCCTCACAGTTTATTCTCTGTTTTTTTATTTGTTTATTTATTTTTGCTTCAATCAATCACATTTTGGTATCTTACTAGTCTAAAACATGATGGCAAACAGCTTGGCACAAACACACAGAACTTGGAGCAGTCGCAGCCCAGTGACATWCAGGATTAAGTCCTGCAATGTAGTTTTCCTAATCTTAGCCAAGTATGCCTTACTCTAGCCAAACAACAAAATAAAATAAATAAAAACTTTATGAAACAATGTAAGACTGGCTTCAATTRGCAAATATTCCTTATAGGGCAGCAAGCTGACAAAAATCGCCAAAACAGGAACAAACCCTAAAGTTCTGCGTTCCTTTTTTAGTCTTTTTGTTCCGGTTGCCTCTGCCGTTGAATACATTTGAATAATCTCTTTCTAAGCAGCGGTACAGGTGAGTTTTTCTGACGCAGATGTTTCCTCGCAGCAAGTTCCGAACGTCTCCTCTGACATATTTAAAGCAGCTCATGCCTCCTCTTATCAAATCCACGCAGACACTTTGAGGAACGTCAGAGCGCTTGGAGTGTTGCCAGAGTCGGCGTGCAGAAAAGGGAACTCAGAGACGCGTTCGACCAAATTCACATACGTCTCAGAAGATGGCAAAAAAAAATCTGTATACCTGTATGAATAAATCATTTCCAGTTAAAAAACATTAAAGCTGTAATTGATATTTTTTAACAAACAGAATGAAAATTTGATGTAAACTTATACTCTCTTTTTTTTAATCGCCTGTCACCAAGAGCAGAGTGACAATGTGTTTGACCTTGTGTTTGGGCATGTGCCTGTCTGTTAGCAAAATATCTCATGAACCAGTCAACATATATTAATGAAACTTTCATAAAGTAATTACTCAATTTGCYTCTGCAACTATTTAACTTTTGGGGTCCACTTGATTCAAAATGGCTGTTACAGTCAACTTTAGGCAGCACGACAGCTCAGTGGTTATTACTGACGCCTTACAGCAAGAAGGTCCTGGCTTCAATTCCCGGTTCGGACCTGGGGTTTTTCTGTGTGGACTTTGTATGTTCTCGTGATTGTGTTAATTTTCTCTGGGTACTCTGCCCCCACCACTTCCGCCCAAAAACATGTACAGTAAGCTGCCTCCAGGCCTCCCTTGAAAAAGACACCTGTGATCTCAATGGGACTTTCCTGGATAAATGGTAAAATAAAATAAAAAAAACTGTTATTGTTACAGATATGAACCTAAAAGTGGATGTGGTGACAGTTAAAACTGGGCCGTGGACCATTCTCCGAGGTTTAACTGATTGCAACTAATCTGCTTAAAACTATCTAAATAACTACAGTATTCATACATTGTCTGTTAGCAAAAAACATTGTGAGCCACTGATTTTGTTGAAACTCTCTTGAATTAATACTTGAATGTGCATCTCCAACGGAATAACTTTTGGAGTTATTCCAAATTAAGATGGTTGTCAAAGTGAGCTGACTTTAAACAGAAAAATGACTACAAAGGCCAGGGGCAGATCTAGACTTTTTTGCATGGGGTGGCCATGGTGTTTTAGTGGGGGCACATACAAATAATGAAAGCACTTTGGATTTGAAAAGACAAGATGATCGCCACAGTTTATTCCAAATACCTTTAATTTGGCTGTTTTAAGAAATATTTAACTGAAATTTTATTTGATCTTAGCCAAGAATGATAAAAAAAAACATGCTAAATGCTTGTCACAACTAATTATCCAYCCTTTTTTACACATACAATGTTGAAGATTGGTGTAGAAATAGCCAAAAACAATCTTTACAGAATTCTAATCAAATATACAAAATAGCCACCACAGCTAACTTTAAAAGGATAATGAGTAGCTAAGAATGATCACATGCCGATTYCCAATGCTAKTCCCAAATTAAGCTAACCACTAATGCTAATTTTACAAAGGGCTATAATTTYGCCATTTTTGAATATACACAGACACAGATTTATAATATACCATATCAGAGAATAATCTTTAACAAAATCMAAATGCAAAATCCAAGATCCCCACTCACTTCTTAATTATTTGGGGGTGCMACCTGGGGTGGCCCCTCTGGTTCTGCCTCTGGTAAAGGCCCTGTCACACTAACTTTTTAGACAACTTATACCAACTTATGAAGTTTGTCCAACACTAAAAATGTCTAAGCTAAAGATGGAATTAAAAAGAATCTACTGGAAGCATGTTTTGGACCTATACTGCAATGCTAACAATCAGATCGAATAGCCAAATAAGAGTGAAATAATCAACAAATTTTAATAAGCTGTATAAGTTGTCTAAAACATGTGACAGGGGGTTATCTCAGCCAGTTTTCTGATTATTGATCTAAAATGTGYTGTGGTATTATCTAAGAACACTTTCCTTTTTTTTCCTTTTTCTCATTTCCTTCAGGTCCTGGGAATCGTCTTCTTCCTCTTCCTCATCATGTGGTGTCCGTTCTTCATCACCAACGTCACCTTTGTCCTCTGTCGCGGCTCCTGCAATGAATCGCTGCTTCACGACCTGCTCAACGTCTTCGTATGGGTGGGTTACATCTCCTCCGGAGTCAACCCTTTAGTCTACACCCTCTTCAATAAGACCTACAGGAGAGCGTTCTCAAGCTACATCCGGTGCCAGTACAACGTCGGGGCTAATGCGGCCGGACAAGGTTGCAAAACCCTGCTGGGCCCCTCGCAGTGCCCGTCGCACGCCGTGACTCCTCTCCTGCCGAGCAGTCACGGGAAAGAAGGGGTGGACCGCAACAGTAACTGTAGGAACGGCAGCAGGGGAGGTAACGGGAGGCTGACTGTGGACCCGGAAGACACGACGGACGACGGGACGCAGATCGGATTAGTGTCGCAGAGTCCATCTGAGTTCCACAGTGCCAGCCCYTTCTCAGAAACGGAGCTCGAAACGGAGGTGGAGCAGGAGCTGTCGCTCATCAGCTACCCTCCCTCCAGAGAACACACAAGCAGCGTGTGACTGCGTGCTTTTGTTCCATCTTCCTCCGAACCCGGCTGACGGTGCTCGTCGACCACAGTCCCCCTGTTGCACTGGGGCCTCTTACTGCYAGAGGACTAGTCTTGATGAAGAGCCTCATCTCTACTCAGGAGTGCACCACTTCTATCCACGAGGAAGGATAAAGAAACAGAAGAGCCTCATAAGTGGAAAAGGAAAGCAACATTTCCAATATGTTTTTTATTATTATTATTTTGCCAAAAAATGATTTATTATGGCATTAATTTAAAAAATAGGGAGAGCGTCTCTCAGGATTTGAGCTCATCAGTCAAGAAAGGTGGAGACCGTGGTATCGAGTGAAGCGCTTACTCGTTATTCACATGACGTGAAGTCAAGAATCTCACTGATGCAGGTCACAGAGTCGATGCAGGTCACAGAGTCGATGCAGGTCACAGAGTCGATGCAGGTCACAGAGTCAAGCAGCAACCAAGTCGAAGCCTGACGTCGAGCCCCTCGCCGAGCATCGAAACACAAGCGGACCTCAGCCACTCCTGTGCCAGTCAAACTTGACGGCAGTGGTCATGAAAACTGTCTGAGCGAAACTTTTCCACAACCATTTAGCTGACAGAAATGAGATATTTCTACAAAAAAAAAAAGAAAGAAAAGAAAGAAAGAAAAAATGGAGAAAATTTCTCAAGGCTGCAGTGAAAGTTTCCTTAAAAGGAGAGGGATGAAGGAATGTACACCCACCACTTCCCTCTGGTGGACTCACAGTGCCATCTAGTGGTCACATGGGGTTAGCCATGCAGAAAAAGAGCTAAAATAATAACAATAAAGATTGTAACAGTAATAATAATAAAAACAACAAACAGCACAGCTTCTCACCCCCACACAGCTGTCGGACTATTGCTTCTGTTGCTCAGTYGAAGAGCATCCAGCTCGCAGCTTCCAAGCGTTTCTACTGAAATCCACAAATAAAGTTGCAAATGTAACAAAAACATGTTTTTGATAGAGTGCACAACTATTTTACAGATTGTCTTTATTGGGAACAAAGCATTTTTTTAATTTAATGCCAGTCATTTTTCATCAGTTCTCAATCCAGTTATAAACTCATTTTGCAAGATCTTCCTTTGTCGAAACCATTTTATGAGCTAAAAGCATGAGAATCCACCGAGCTAGTTAGTACAAGCTAGGCACAGAGTGGCAATATGATTCATGAAGTCAACATTTACATTGAAGAGCATTAATTCAGTTGTGTGTCTTGAAAAGATTTGAATACAAGCGGTATTTTTACACTTTGTTCAAGCAGGAAGCATAACATTGCTGTTTAATATACTTGTGTTATCTGATTCCATGGTTCGATATCAGAATATTCACATTTTTGCCCCCAAGCATGAAACCCCAGTTGTTTTGCACTTGAGACTTTTCTGAAAGATAAAGGAGCTTTCGTGCCATTTTATTTTTTAAAGAAGCAGAATTTTTAGTCTGTGTTTTTTTTTCTTGTCAAATATCCCTCAGCTGCAGGGTTTTCTATCCTGCCCTGAGCTAGAATTGATTGAAGATGAATGGAGGCAGTAAGATGATAAAGGAAAAACAATGTCTTTGCCATCTATGAGTGGGYAATTAAAAGCTCGAGCAGATATTCAGATGGTCAAAACATCAGTTGCATAAACGCACTGATGATGACTTTTAAGATACAAAGTTTGCCTGAGTTTTAGTTTGAAGGACAAAAACTTTATTGGACTCTGTATGTTTCATTAGAAACACTAAATCAGTTTAGATTTCAGCACTTAGAGATAAAACTTSAGACACAAAAAGCTAAGACAGTCAKACCAAGGCYGGTCTTGAGTTCGTCAAACGCTTTACTTTACAMTACATTTTACATTACTTGTGTTGCTCTGGTGCAGCTCGTTTCACRGTAAACAGAAAGCTGCATTAACAGAAACTGAGATATGTAGCATTTTCACAGCTTTCCTTTTTCAGCCCCAAAACGTTTTGAAAGTGCCCTGCAAAACTGCTGAAGCACTTTAAATACCAAAAATACTGTTTATGGTTTGTTTTCTTTGTAAAGTAAAGCAATTATTGTACKAGTGTTGATACAATTTCCTCTACAGATTTATGCAATAAGTGAGAAGGGGAAAACTCAATTTGCACATTTTGTGCATTCATTATAAAAAGGAGGTTTTCTCACTTTAGGTGTATGATGGTGATAAGGCCACACCAAAATAAGTATTATGTGTTAKGTTTGAGAAAATAATTATAAATGAAAGGACCATTTGGGCCCAGAAGAATGCACATAGTTGTGGAAACCATCCAACTTGGGCTCAGATGTGTCATCTGATATTATTTTACATGACTCGTTTTTGACAATCAATTATTTCTTAGGCAGCATGARGGCTCAGTGGTTAGCACCAACGCCCCACAGCAAGAAGGTCCTGGGTTCGGACCTGGGGTCTTTCTGTGTGGAGTTTGCATGTTCTCCTCATGCTTGCATGGGTTTTCTCTGGGTACTCTGGTTTCCCCCACCCCKCAAAAACATGTACAATAGGTTGCCTTCAGGCCCAGGCCTCCCTTGAAAAAGAGATCTCAACAGGACTTTCCTGGTATAATAATGGTGAATAAAAAATAAATTTCACTTATGTATGTACCAATTATCTGAAGGGTTTGTACATTTAAGTTAATATGCAGAGATGTCCAGCTATAGACTAGCAAAAGCTCCAGAAATACATACAAAGCATTCAAATTACTTTAATTTCCTTACTTGCCATATTATTTGTACTTAGCTGGCAGCTAATCTTTGCACAGAGCAACAGAGGAAAACTGGCCCACAGCAAGACTTACCACCTAAAATAAATGACCATAAATGTTAGAAAAGCTATCCCACCTAAAATAAATTAACAAAAATGCTTTAAAAGCTATCCCACCTAAAATACATTAGTGTAAATGCTATAAAAGATAGCCCATCTAAAATAAATTACCGTAAATGTTGTAAAAGCTAGCCCACCTAAAAGAAATTTACATAAATGCTTTAAAAGCTATCCCACCTAAAATGAATTATTGTAAATGATATAAAAGCTAGCCCACCTCAAATAAATTACCATAAATATAAGAAAACCTGTGCCACATAAGTGCACTACTATAAATGTTAGGAAAAGTGGCTCATTCAAAATGAATTATCGTAAATGTAAGAAAATTTGTACTGCCCAAAATAAATTACTCTTAAATATTAGAAAGCATATTTATTTAAAATTGTTACTGACATTTAACAACCAATCCAGGTCCAGATAAAACTTTATTTGGTTTCAGAGACACCTAGAGTAGACTTGTCATTAAACATATTGTGTTTAATCAGAGCTTCTTTCTAACTCAGATATTTGTTCTTTATAAGAGCAGGAATGGAAATAAGAAAAAAAGAGCAGTCATCAAAAAGCATATGGCACCTGTTTTCCTCCAGGCTCTGTATCTTTATCCCGGTTGAAAACACAACAATAAGAGTTGAAAATATGGGGGAACATTTGAAAGAAAGCAGAGACAGTGGACAGAAATCAGCAAGCCAAGTGTTCCAGCCGTGTCAGCCAGCTGCTTGTGTCGCAGTTTAATAACWACATGTTTCCAATCGAACCTGTGTGTCGCAGTGACTGTGGCTCAAGCTGCTGCCTGAGATTGATTTTCTGCTTTGTATTGATTGTGACCAGCACAGCAAGTTAAATCCAGACCAGACAGATGACAGCAATCACTGCAAAAGACAAATATGTGGAAAGTTCTAAAGTAATAACTTGATTCAGCTCTGGTGTATTCAGGCACAGCTCCAACCTTTTGTTGGATTTTTTTTTCCAAAGTTTGTCTTTTTTCTCCTCTATGTATCTAAAACATTTTATTTTTCCAAAAGAAGCTGCAGAAGAAGTAAAATAGGTTGACTTAATAGTAAGYGTTTTATTGATTCCCTGCCAAGAATCCCAATAAACCACTGGGAGATGGCATTTAGGTCTGTTTGAAAAGGAGTGCCAGCTTAACATAAACACAACAAACCTGACTGACCACAGAYAGACCTGCWGTGTGAACATAGCTTAGCATWTCCCAGCTGYAAGTACAGCTAGCTGCGCCACTTTTTCTTCTTGTTAATAACTATAACAGGGGTCTGCAACTCTTATAATCTAAAGAGCCATTTCAGCCCCTTGGCCCACTAATAAAATCCCACATAGCAGACAGGTGTGGGCCAGATCTGGAATCAAGCTGTCACTGCTGGCTGACTGTTGGGATTGCAAGTAAATTGTAAACCGGATGTGGGCCAGACCTGGCAATGATGCAAAAATATGTCAATGCCACAACTGGCCCAGTTGTGATTTGGTTCATGTGGTCCAGTTCTGCCATTCCCACAACTGGCCCAGTTGTGATTTGGTTCTTGTGGTCCAGTTCTGCCATTCCCACAACTGGCTTGGTTGTGGTGTTATTTAAGTGACTCAAATCTGACAATCCCACAACTGGCCTGGTTTTAGTTTGGTTCATGTGGCCAAGTTCTGACAGTCCTGCAACTGGCCCATTGTGGTTTGGTCCATGTGGTCCAAATTTGCCAGTCCCACAACTGGCTCAGTTGTGATGTTATTTATGTGATTCAAATTTGGCAATACCACAACTGGCCCAGTTTTTGTTTGGTTCATGTGGCCAAGTTCTGACAGTCCCACACCTGACTCAGTTGTGGTGTTATTTAAGTGACTCAAATCTGGCTATCCGACAACTGGCCCAGTTTTGGTTTGGTTCATGTGGCCCAAATCTTTCAATGCCACAACTGGCCCAGTTGTGGTTTGATTTACAGTATGTGGTGCTGCCCCATGCATGAGCCACCTCTGACAAACCACATCTGGGCCACCAAAGGACCATCATTCTTTGTGGTATATGTATTTTGCTAGGTGAGATGTGTCAGGAGCTGTGAAACATGCTACAACTACAATTATCAATTGCTGGTCTGTGGGCCACTTTGAGTTTGTTGAAAGGGGGCTTTMTTGGCCTGTGAGGGTGACTTTATAAATCTAAAAATATCTACAGAGTTTTAAGTTTTATTATTATTTTTATAC